CTGTAAACATTACATAATATATAGTGTATATTAGAAAGAAAGAGAGAGAAAGCAAATGTGGCAAGATGTTATTAATCTGAAGGATCTGAATGAAAGGTAAAAAGGTATTCAAGGATGTTATGCTTTCGACATTTTTGTAGTTTGAGATTTGCAAGATAAAAATTTGAAAAAAAATTCCAAAGCACCCCAGTGGATGCTGGATACAGGAAATGCAGTGTGTATGCACAGTGGAATACTATCCCGTGTCGAAAAGGAAGGAAACCCTGCATTGTACAACCACACGGGCGAGCCGCGGGGACAGCATGCTGAGTGAAATCAGCCAGTCGCAGAAGGACGCGTACTGCGCGATCCACCCCTGTGGGGGGGCCTAAAACAGCCAAACTCAGGGGCCAGGCTAGGATGGTGGTGACCAGGTGTTGGTGGGGGTCGGGGGATGCGGCTGGTCGTTAATGAACAGGTGTCAAGTTTCAGTTATGCAAGACAATTAAGTTCGAAAGAACTGGAGACAATACTGTCCTAAGCACTAAATGATCATAAATTTTTAAGTTTTGTAAACCCAACCCACCCACAAATGCCTCCACGGAGAAGGAATACTTTGCGTTTGTCCCTGGCTTCCTTGGAATATAAGTTTGTTACGGGAGACCAAAGCCTTCTGGGCCTTGGTGAGTCATTTATTTCCCCGCGTGTGTCAGCGTGTGGTTGGACATGTCACTTTCCCCAGTGGCGGAGCTGGAAACTCACCAGGGACTACGCACCAAGCTGGTTACTTCAGATTGGATGTGTACGTTTTCATCTGCCTCACTGACACACACACAGAGTTGCCCTCAGATTTGCCTCGGTTGGCACCGACCCTATCTGTGAACTCAATGCCTCTTCTGCCCCCGTGCCCACCTCACCTGCCCCCAGTGAAGTCACACGTTAACGGGAGAGGCACGCACCTCCATGGACTCCCTGAACCTTTGCTCTGGAGGTCAGCCGTAGCTCCGCAGGCGGGGCACCCGGCTCCCCCGGAAAGTCTTATCTGCGCCGCTGATCCCCTGCTGGTGACTGGCAGGGATGCTGTGGGCGGAGCTTTTTGTTCTGGCCGCCCTTTTGTTCTGGCTCCCCTTCCCCCGGCCCCTCTCCCTCGGTGGCCACACGTGGGAAGGGGCCCACCCTCGGGACAGTTCACGGACCTCACACAGGCCAAGGGGAAGCCGTGTTCAATCATTAACCCAGATTCCCGCTTGCACTTTCTGACCTCGCGTCCCAACCCCGGCAGAAACAAACCCGTGGGGACACGGGACCTGGAATCCGTAACCCCTGGACCTCGCACGGGAGGGTCGTGGCGGGAAGAAAACGCCGTCCCAAAAAGGGCCCAACTTGGCATAAAAAAAAGAATGAAAACAGACAAAACAAGTAATAAAATATGAATTTTTTAATTGTGAAACACGTCAAGTATACAGAAACGCACTGACCGCCCAACTTTGCCAAATCTTAAATTGGTCGTTCATGTGTCCCAATACACTTATAAGATATGAAATAATACAGATAGAATTGAATGGCCCTGATTTCTTTTTTTTTTAAAGCTAGCCCCCTTCTTCCTTTCCCAGAAAGATCAGGTATCCTGAATCCTGGTTTTGCCATTCGCTCTTTCCAAACACGTTTCATATGACCGCTATCTAGAAACAGGTTCATAATCGATATTTGCTGTTGTGTGTGGGCTTCACTTGGCCTGCATCCTGCTGCAATTTGCTGATCACCCAACATTGTGCTTTTGACACCTTGCCCCGCTGATCCCCGGAGTTCTGATTCCTTTACTTTACCCTCAGCATGACATTCCCTCGCGTGACTTTATCCCGATTTTGCGCCCTTTCCCAGCCCCTGCTGCCCACATCGTGTGCACGTCTCCTCGTGCAGGAGGGGGGCTCCTCCGGGGCCCTGTGGGACCTCCAGGTCCCAGAGATGCCCGCCCTCACCTGCAGCACACCTGGCCGAGCTGCTTCCCAAAATGGTCACCTGCACTTCGTGCTCCCGCCGCTACCATGCAAGTTCCTGCTGCTGTCCATTTCCGGAGGACTTTCTTCCACTGCACACCCCCTCCCCACCCCCCGCAAAAAGTTACATGTCTTACAGAGCTCAGGACCCTTGATTAGAGGCAACCACCTTCTCCCTGCCCTTCTGCACCAAGGAGATCAGTCACCGCCTGCCGAGTGCCTACGAAGCACTGAACTCAGTGACTTCAATCACTGATTCCGTTCTTACAGCCTGGAGGTTATTATCCCCATTTTGCAGATGAGCTCACTGAGGTTTAACAAGAAACGCAGCAGAGCGAGCTGGCAACGGCCTCGTGGAGAGCTCTGGTCGTTGTGTGTGCCGCAGCAAACCAACTGCACCTGTTGAGTCGGTGATGGTGGGGAGGGTTTACTCCAGGAGAAGCAAAGGACTTTCCAGTTGTTTATTCATTATTCTGCCAAGGGGAGGGTAAGATCTTCTCAATTTCCAGGAGGGAGAAAGGCTCGGGGAGAGTAAGTCTGTTTCAAGTTTCATGAAAGTTAAAGGCACAGTCTGGCTCTTGCTCCAAAATCCCACTCTTTGCATTCCAGGGAACACCTAAGCTGTACCACTGCCCTCTCCTCAGGCAGTCCTCAGCACCATCGTGGCACAGAAGTGTAACAGGGTGCAGCCAAGAGGGGAGCCCCAAATAGGGATTTGTAATAGGGTCCAGAAGAGCCTGGAGATGATTGGCTCCACACCACAGGGCCACACCTGCCCAGGTGGAGACATACCACCTGTGCCCTCTGTGACCCCAGTGACCTGGAAGTGATGATTGACTACTCAGTGACCCTGCCTGGAGAGGCACCACAGTCCTGCCAGAGGGCATCCCTTATCAGAAATCAGAGCTGGCCGCGCAGCCAGCCCCACCACCCACCTCCCTGAAGGAGGAAAACAGACCATGCCCACCAGCCAGGTGTCCCCGGAAAGCTCAGCAGGTGCCAGGTGCCCATCCTGTTTCCTTTGGAGTCGCCTGCCTGCCAGGGACCTTCAGCAAGTCCGCTCACTCTCATCTTTGCACGCCTATCCACGTGACAGGCACCACAGGGTGCAACTGGTCTCGTTCATTCTCGATCCACTCACTCAGCACAAATATGGCCGCTCCCATCGCTTCTGCTGCTGAGCCAGTGCACTCCCCTCACCTTTGGGGTTTTTACTTATTTATTTTTAGAGAGGAAGGGAGGGAGAAAGAGAGGGAGAGAAACATCAATGTGTGGTTGCTTCTCAAGTGCCCCCTACTGGGGACCTGGCCCACAACCCAGGTATGTGTCCTGACTGGGAATCGAACCGGCGACCCTTTGGTTTACAGGCCAGCACTCAATCCACTGAGCCACACCAGCCAGGGCTACCTTTGGGGTTTTTGATTTTATCCATTGTGCAGCCCCAAGGCTGGTCTTGGGGCATCATTGTCCCTTTAATGAGAAGGGAACTGGAGGTAGAGAAAGAAGGAAATGTCTTTTGAGGGTCATCAGTGGGTTTTTGAGTGAGGACGTACGACACACAGTTAACCCTCATATAATAACACCTCAATTTTCCCAGAGAAGTCAAGTAAAGTACCTAAGGACACAGCTGGGCAGCAAGGTTCCCAGGATTTGGCCCCAGGTCCACACGACACAAAGGCCACGCTCTTTCGCCACAAGGCACAGTCTGCATCATGGGAAATCCATTATGAACTGGGTTCTCCCTTCTGCCGTGATGCTGGTGGTGGCGGTTGACACTATACAATGTAACCCTACTAAATCATGCCCCGTGGGGTTTAGTCCAGAAGTCACAGTCTGGCAAGAATGTAAGAAACACCATCTGCCACCAAAAAATAACGTCATTATGACTCCAGATGTTCTACTTAGAATTCTCCACAGCAGTGAGGAAATTCACAGTCAAGGGCGGAAGGCACATGTAAGGTTTGCTTGGCCACCACCCCAAGTGCTGCAGTGGGGAGCAAACAGGGACCAGCAGGCAGAGAGGACGCAGAGATGAATCCCACGTGGACGAAAGCAGGAGATGTTCAAGCAAGACCCTGCCTCATCCTCCTCACCCCTGCTCCACCTTGCAGACCTCACCTACACACTCACTGCAGTTCTCGTCCCATTCCCCTCATAGTCACAAAGTGGCTGCAGAAACCCAAGAAGAACATCGATAGCATCCCAAGCAGGAATGAAGGGGAAGTGCCTTTCTTCTATAACAGTCAGGAAAGGAAATCTTCCCCCGAAGCACCCGGAAGACTTTCCCATGCATCTCATTGGCCAGACTGGGTCACCTGCTCACCCCTAGACCAATGAGCCCGGATGTCTTCCATTTGCTTCCCAGAACCACATCCTGCTCGTCGACACCCTTTGGAGAGCAGTGAGGACGGCCTGTAAGGATGACCTACCCGTGAGGATTTCAGGCCTCCCTTTGGCCCTGACTGGTTTCAGCCAGTGGGGGTTCCCAGCAGAAAACCAGATGGAGAGAAGACAGTGGTGAGGCAGAGAAATGAGAAAACTTCCCTGACGTCCTCCCTGGGCCTGACCTCAGGCTGGCTGTGAACTTGAACCAAAGCTCCCTGCTCCCCCCCAGGGCCCCCTACTCAACTCTCTCCTAAATCGAGTTATGACTCTCCTGTTGCCTTTGGCCTGGGGAAGGTAACAGCCTTCTTGTTACTAGTCTGTGGTTACTTCACTGTCTCTCATACACGGGGGCCTGGCAGAAGAAGGCCGGCCTGCGTGAGTGTGGTTGGTAGGGTAATAATAGGGGTGTAATAATGTATAAGTTTAATTTGAGCATCTCATTTAAAATGTCCTATGGCGTGCTTGAGTGTGATAGCATTATGTTACAGAATTAGATGCTTATGATTTGGCAATAAAAGATTTTTTGTAATAAAAAAAGGGGCATTATTTGAGCCACACCCTGTGCTCACACCTTGAAATAATAAACTTCTGAATCACTGCGTTTTGACTCTGCCATTGGTTGCTCCACAGGGCCCTGATTTGCTACGACCAATCATTGCAAAGAAGAACACAATGCCGACCAATCAGGTTTCATCTCCTAGCAGCCAGAGGAAGTTTCTGCTTCCGAGTGGACACAGGGCAGCCTGTGCTCGGAGCTGCAGGCCAAGAGGGGTGGGGGATCCTTAGAGGAGAAGCGTCCAAGTCCCAAGGCCTCACAGCAAGGGTGGCGCTTAAGAAACATCTAGAAATCCAAGGGGGGGAGGTCTTCCTTCACTTTCCTCTCCATCTTCCTCTCTCTGTGTGTCTGTTCTCTCTCTGCTTCCCCGGTTCTGTTTCACCTGTGGGCAGTCTATTCTCGCATCTCAGCATCCCCAGGGTGGTTAGAGTCGGAAGTTTGTATCTGGTTCTCAAGGGGTGGCCCTGGAGCAGCAGCCGCCAGCATCTGGGAACTTGTTAGAAAGAGAAATTCTCAGGCCCACGCCAGACGCCGGAATGGAGAACTCTGTTGAACACCCCTGCCCCGCCTGCCAAGACATTCCCATCCTGGCTTCCGAGGGTGTCGGGGACTGACTGCCGCTCACACTCAGCGGCCCACCGCCCCCTGCCGGCACAATGAGGTCAGTGCAGGTGTCCCGTGCGGGCCGCAGCTCTCCAGCGATCCTTCCAGAGCACGACCGGGAAAGTCCTTTCTGTCCGTCCTGCGGGTTTTCCTTTCTCCTCCTTAGCCGCTGAGCTACAGGGTTCACAGTCAGAACTGGTGCCGGGAAAGTAAAATAGAAAGCGGTCACAGCATCGGACAGGGGAGGCGAGGAGGAAGAGAAAGGAAAGAGAAAGAAGTGGTTCAGACCCCCCCCCACCCCCATCTGGTGAAAATGCAAATCCTGCCCCAGCCCCTCTGGGTGTGAGACTCCCGCCTGGGACTCGAAACTGCGGGTCCCTGGACTCACCAGAGGCCCCCTCTCTACCGACTCACCCTGGGCATTAAAAGGGAGACCTGGCTTCTGCTGTGCCCAGCACGGAAGTTCTCCCACCCCAGGGCGCGGGAATGGGAGGGGGGGCTCCTGAGAACGCTCGGTGCTGGGCCCCTCCCCGCAACGTAGACTTCCCCATCCCACCCCCACCCTCACCCCCACCCCCACCCCGAGTTTCCCCTTCGGCCCTGCTGGGGTGGGGCTGAACACTGTGCATTGCTTTCAAGTCCCTGGGGTGAGGCTAGTGATGCTGTCATTTCGCTCTATCGGGACCTTTCCTGATATTTCTATGGCATCCAGTAACAAAGATCGCCCTTATTTATTCCCGAGGCTAATGATTCGTAGCGTTGGTTTTTAAAAAAAGGAGGAGGAGGAGAGGGAGGAGAAGCGCGGGGTCGGAGAGTGGGGTGGGGGTACTATTTATTGTGTCACAAAACCCCTCCGCTGGTAGAGCACCAGGTCCTGACCATCTAAAATAAAATGCAACGCCACCACCTGCTGGTTGTCTCAGGAAGTGCACAGGGTGTCCAGAGTGCTGGGCACTTGCGAATCAATCTTGCAAATGGCTCCTTGCAAATTAATCTTGGCAGACACAATACGTCCTAGACAGTACCCACCATCCTCCTCGCCTCTCAGGCGTCGGCAAGTCAGCAAAACATTTATGGGTATGACCCGTTCGGCTCCGGGCTTCCTTTGGGACTCAGAGGAGCAGGAATGTAAGAAACTGGCTTAGCGTCACACAGCGAAAGGTGGTGACCACACAAACCTTCTGTCTCCAGAGCTCCCTGCTGGGTCCCCTCAAAAAAATAGCTGGAGAGACACTTACCTGGCAGGGGAGAGACAGTGATCACGAGGGTGGTTTTTCCAGGGTGAGGCTTCTCCATTGCACTCCACACGTGCTGACCCCTGCGATTTCCCCAAATGTGGGAAACGCAACTGCGTAATTTGGGAAAGTGGGGGGCAGCCTTTGCGCTCTCCCCTGAAAAGAAAAAAAAACTGGAGAAAAGTGTCCCATAAGGATATGCCCTCCCACAAAGTTGGCACTGAAAAATGCTTTAGATCCAAACATTCCCATACCCTTTATTTTATAAAAAGAACACAGCAGAAAGCACAGAACGGCGAAGGGACCTGCCAATTGGGTTGGTCACACAGCAGCTTGGTGACAGATCAACAAAGTCACTCGTGTCCCTTAGGCCACACGGCACTTTCAGTAGCATTTACTGAGGGTGGAATGCCTGAGCTTGAGCACTGTGTTCTATCTGGGGACTATGGCTCTAGCAACAAGAACTTAAGTCACTTTCCCTAGCTGGTATAGCTCAGTGGATTGAGTACCAGACTGTGAAGCAAAGGGTCATTGGTTCGATTCCCCATTGGGTCACATGCCTGGGTTGCAGGCCAGCTCCCTGGTTGGGGGTGCACAAGAAGCAACCACACATTGATGTCTCCCTCTCTTTCTCCCTCCCTCCCCCTTTCTCTAAATAAATAAGTAAATGTTTTTTAAATGAACTTAACTCATTAAAAATATACATAATCAAGGGGTACACCACATTGTCTATTCTACCAATTAGAAATTATTTCCCAGTTATTCAAAGAAGCTATTAACATTTTTAACACGAACTGCCTGGATTATTATTTACTCAATTCTTTTCCTGTAATCTATACATTTAGTTATTTGTCCTTGTCCCAAATAATCATATCTGTCAAACTGTGTATAATATCACTTGCTGTATTGATTGTTTGATTAATTAATTTGAAATATCCAGAATCCATTTGTGTCACGCCTCAAGGCACCCTGCTCCCCACCCGTGACGCCCCACGTGTTTTGGGGAGAAGTGACTGGGTCTTCAGTAGCCTGGGTCCCGTGTTCCTCTCTTGGCAATGACGTCTGTAGGTCCTGTGGTGCAGGGCAGGTGATGCCCTCACTGACCCCTGGTCTTGTCACCTGAAAAGTGGGGTTAGTAGCATTTCCTACTTGATATGCTCATTATTGGGATTAAATGAGCTACTCCACATCAGAATTTGACAAGATGCCCCGTATCCAATCAATGTCAATATTAAATTGCTCTTAGGAGGCAGGACACTGCGTCTTTTTTGAATGAAGAACCATGAACCTCAAAGCTGGTCATCAGTCTTGCACTTTCTCGTCTTCCTTAAGGATGCAACCCACCCCCCTTTGGAAGACAGAACTCTGCTACCCCTTTAACAGGGCACACGGAGGCTGTGCCCAGTTATAAACAGAGTTACCATGTGACCGGAAACCCCTCTTCTGGGTATCTGCCTGAACATTTTCAAAACATGTACTCATAAAGATGCATGCACCCCTGTGTTCACTGCAGCACTATTCTCGGTGCATCCTTGGATGGCAGACTGGAGAGAGGCGGTATCGTGCATACATGCAGTGGAGTACTCCTCGGCCCCGAGAAAAGACGAAGGACCGCCCTTCGCGACAACACGGATGGACCTTGAAAACGCCATGCCTACCGAAATAAGTCAGACGGAAAGCAGTGGAGAGCCCTGTGAGTTCACTCATACGAGGGATGTAAAACCAAAAGCAACAAATAAGCCAACAAGACACACACAAACGCATAGACACAGACAAGTACTGTGTTCGAGCAGAAATGCAAAGCATGGCATTAAAGCAAGCGCGTGCAAAAACTGGTGTTCTTTATGGGCCCTGTGATTCCCAGAGGGAAGGGCAGGGTAGAAACGGGTAAAGAGGGCCACATATACGGTGACAGAAAGAGACGGGACCCGAGGTGGTGAACACACCGTACGACACACAGAGGATGTGTCACAGAATTGTACGCTTGAACCCTGTATAACTTTATTACCCAGTGTCACCCCAATAAACACAATGACGTTTTTAAAAAAGCCGTTACATGGGTCCCCTGAAGTCCTTGCACCACTCAGCGGGAACGGGGGCATTTTCAGGCCGTGAGATCAGTAGGGGGGGTCTCATCAGATACTTTCTAAATACGTGGGTTGGGGGTTGACGCTGGTAAGAGGCTGCACACTTTTCCCACGTGAGGAAACACGCAATTCCCCCCGAGAACTGGGGAGCAAACGCTGCCCACCCCCCGAAGGACATGGGCGCTGCCTGGTATGGGTGGACCCCCCACCACCACCACCACCCGTGAAGGACGGTCTCCCGCTCCAAAACTAAATCATTCCTGCGGAGAAACCGCTTAGAACGTGTACACTCATCAGCCTCCTCGGCAGAGGAAAACGCAGCTTGACCGTATTCTCTGGGCCTGACGGGCTCTATCGGTAGGAAAACAAGGCAGCCCTCCAATGGGCAGGAGGCCCTCAGGACCCGGCGTGTTCAAATAATTGTTCACAAACAGAAAAGCCCGAGTTGCTCGAGCACATTCCGACTCACGCTACAGAGCTCGTTCAATGGGGGCATTGTTCTCTCCAGGGAGACGGCGGAGGTCCCAGGCCAGCCGGGGCAGGCGCGCTCCGCAGGTCTCCCGCCGCGGCTTACCCGGTGGCGCGGGTGCCGGGGAGCCGGCTGGGAAGACGGGGGCGACGCTGCTGTGCTGGAACGATACAAGACTGGGTTCTGTCCGCTCACTCGCTTCCATGACCCTCCCTGGTGACCGCTGTCCCAGCACATCCGCAGGACGGCAGTCTCAGCCCCCGGCAAAGTCGGGAGTAGGGGGCCTGGCACGCCCCCCACCCCAGGGACCCCCACCCTCCATGCACGTGGAAATGGCCAGAGTGGCCTTAAAAATAATACAACGCCCCTGGACCCAGGCCTGCCCGACACCTATGGAAATTCATCCCGGGCGCCGGTGTGCGGCCCGGGCTGAGAACCACAGAGTTGGCGGAGCGGTGGCAGGGGCTGGACAGCGGTCCCTCACCAAGCAAGCCGGGCGCTCCTGTCCCCAGGAGGCGCACTGAGTGGGGGGACATCCCAGCTTCGAGGTGGGCACTCAGGCACCGGGAGAGTCCAGGGTCTGGACTCTGGTCAGCGGGTTTCCCCAGACCTCCTCCGGGACCTGCATGAACCCCCTGAGCTGCGCGGCTGTGAGCGCGGGGAGCTAAGAGCCCTCCACGGACTCAGGAAATCGACACTGCGGCTCCAACGCACAGTTTTCACACGCGCCAGACTACCGGGGAGTGTGACTGGAGCAGCATGGCTCACATAAAGCAAGTCTAAGCGTTTTTCCAGGTACACGTGTGTGTACACGTGCGTGGGCGTGTCTCTGAGCAGGGTCCTCGAGGAAAACGTCTGTCTGAATTGTAAGTGACCATCAGAAAAGTTTGAAAGGCTCCAATGCCGCCTACAGGGTTTCTGTGAGGATGAAATGCAATAAGACTCTGGTGCATGTCCCCTGTGAAGCACTAGACAGACTGGGTGGGTCACAGAGGGACAGACGGATGGATAGATGGAAGGCAGGGAGGCAGCCTCAAGCGCAGAGTGAGGAATTCGGCGGACAGAGGACAGCTGGTGGGCGTGCGGCTGTGGCCCCGTTCCAGTCAGAAGGTCTTTGCTCCTCCGAGCGTGTGATTTCCAAAGGGACCTGAACTCCCGACGAATTCCCTGATGTAATAAATGGAAACTTCTTCCGCCACATTCAGATCCAAGAAATGTCACATCAAGTTTACAGGGTTTGGGTAATAGGTCTTCGGGTCCCCCTGTGTCCCAAACACGACTCTTCAAAAAAACCTTTCCAGGGAATTCCACAAGCTTTTATTGCCACTTAGCATGTTCCAGAGGGGGCTGGGCAATGACGCGGCCAAGATTCCTGAGGTGTGGCTCCAGACCTCAAGGCACCCGCTGTCTAGTAGAAGAGTGGTCATGAAAAAAATCTCAAATGATTCGCAGGACCAATGAAGACGATTCCAAGCGGACAGAGAGGAGGACACTCTTACTCCAGACCGTCTAGTTCCCCTCTTGTCGTGAAGCAGAAATGCTCGGAAACGAGGGCATGTCTCATCCTTCGTCGGGTTAAAGACGGATGAAGAAAGTTTCCCAGGGTCCCTGAGATATCGGAAGGCAACAAGAAAAGTTTTGGGATGAAAGAAAAGGGACATCAAAGATTCTAGAAAATTACCAAGGTCTTAGCAAGCGACCTCAGAGCGGCGGCTTCTGCCCTTCTAGAAGAAATTCCAGCCCTGGCTGGCGTAGCTCAGTGGATTGAGCGCAGGCTGCGAACCAAAGTGTCGCAGGTTCGATTCCCAGTCAGGGCACATGCCTGGGTTGCAGGCCACAGCCCCCAGCAACCTCACATTGATGTTTCTCTCTCTCTTTCTCCCTTCCTTCCCTCTCTAAAAATAAATAAATAAAATCTTAAAAAAAAAAAGAAAAGAAAAAAGAAATTCCCCCAAGGCAAGAACGTTAAAAGCCTAGTCATTCGCTTGAACTGGGGACAAGGGGAAAACATGGGACTAATGACCATAAATTATAAATAGACCCTTCGAGATTCTTACATTTTCCCCATCACTCACTGTTACCTTGCTTGTGCTAATCTGGCAGCAACTGCTTTTTAAAAGTTACCATTTACTGAGTTTCTTTTTCCCCCAAAGGAATGTAGCTAAATGTTCACCAAAACAACAACTTTATTTTGATCTTTCTAGTTTACAGAATTATTTATTATTAGCTTTAATGATTACTAACAGGTACTACCCACATTAGCGGGGATGGGTACACACACAATTGGCATGCTGGCAGGCGTACAGTTCCACAGGTGGGAACACAGGGGCCCCCAACCTTGAAACGGGAGCCCGCATGAGCCGTCAGCTGCAGGGGCACCCCCTCCCCCGCGTGTTTTCCGGGCTGCGTGTGCGCCAACGAAAGAGTCACCTGTAGGCAGAGAGAATGGAGGAAAGGTTCGTCCAAGGCCAACAATAAGATCTAGTTTGCTCGAGTCAGTCATTCTGTTACCTGGGCTTCGCAACCTTCTTTCCTGGGAGAGCTGCGGTGGTTCCGGCACGGGGACGCAGCCTGCTACCCTGGTTTTAGAAGTTTCGCCC